GGGGGGGGGGGGGGGGGGGGGGGGGGGGGGGGGGGCTTGACTTAAACTCACAGTAATAGAAATCTTGCTTTATTCTGTTGGTTGCAACAAAATTGGGGTTGCTTGCTTTAAATTCCCAATAATAAAAATTAGTTTATTATGTTGGCTGAAATTAAATTGGGAGTGCTTCTTTTAAAATTCCAGTAATGGAAATCATAGTTTATTCTGTTGGCTGCAACTAAACTAGAGTTTGTTGCTTTAAAACCCAGTAAAGAATTTTTCCTTCATTCTGTGGGAGGCTGTTAAATGGAGGTGCTTGCTTTAAAATCCCAGCAATACAAATGTAGTTTTATTTTGTTGGCTATAAGTAAATGGGGGTGCTTCTTTTTATATCCCAATATTAGATGTCTTGCTTTGTTTTTTGGTTGCAACTAAATTGGTTCATTCTGTGGGCTGCGAGAAAATTGAGGATCCTGGCTTTAAAATGCCACTAATAAAAATGTTGGTTTATTCTGTTGCAGCAACTAAATGGGGGGGGGGGGGCTTGCTGTAAAATCCCAGTAATAGAAATATTGTTTTGTTTTGTTGGCCATAAGTAAATGAGGGTTCTTGCTTTTAAATTCCAGTATAAGAAATCTTGCTTTATTCTGTTGCAGCAACTGAATGGGGAGTGCTTATTTATAACTAATAGAAACATTGTTTTATTATGTTGTTGCAACTACATTGGGCTTGCTTACATTAAAATCCCAATAACAGAAATGTTGCTTTATTTTGTTGTCTATAAGTAAACTGGGAGTGCTTGCTTTGAAATCCCACTAATAAAAATGCTAGTTTATAAAAATGCAGGATCTAAATTGGGGTTGATTGCCTTAAAATTCTAGTAATAGAAATGATGGCTTATTCTGTTCTCTCAAATTAAATTGGGAGTGCTTGTTTTAAAATTCTAGTAATAGAGAAATTATGGTTTATTCTGTTGGTTGCAATTAAATTGGAGTCCGTTGCTTTAATACCCAGTAAAGATATTTCCCTACATTCTGAGTAGCCATTAAATTGGGAGTGCTTGCTTTAAAATTTCACTAATAAAAATATTTGTGTTGCAGGAACTAAATTGAGGGTGCTTGCTTTTCAAATCCCACTAATAAAAATGTAGTTTTATTTTGTTGGCTTTAAATAAATGGTGGGGCTTGCTGTAAAACATCAATTACAGAAACATTTTATTCTGTTGCAGAAAGTAAATTGGGGGTGCCTGCTTTAATCCCAGTAATAGAAATGTTATTTTCTTTTGTTGGATATAAGTAAATGGGGCTCCTTGCTTTAAAAAAATAGACATGTTTTATGTGTTGACTGCAACTAAGTTGGGCTTTCTTTCTTTTAAATCCCAGTAATAAAAATGTTTTATTTTGTTGGCTACAATTAATTTGGGGGTGGTTGCTTTAAAATCCTAGTATTAGAAGTGTTGGTTTATTCTGTTGCAGCAACTGAATGTGGGGTGCTTATTTAAAAGTCCACTAATAGAAACATTATTTTATTCTGCTGTTGCAACTTAATTGGGCTTGCTTGCATTAAAGTCCCAATAATAGAATTTTTTTGTTGGCTATAAGTAAATTGGGGTTGCTCTTTCAATTCCCATTAATAAAAATGTTAGTTTCTCTGTTGACTGCAACTAAATTGGGATTTCTTGCTTTAAAATCCCAGGAATAAAAATCTTGGTTTATTTTGTTGCAGCAACCATATTGGTGATGCTTGTTTTAAATTGCCACTAATAGAAATATTTTATTTTGTTGGATATAAGTAAATGGGGCTGCTTGCTTTAAAATCCCAGTATTAGATGTGTTGTTTTATTCTATTGGCTGCAACTAATTGGGCTTTCCCTCTTTAAAATTCCAGTAATAAAATTTTAGTCTTATTTTGTTGGCTACAAATAATTTGGGGTGCTTGCTTTAAAATCTCACTAATAAGAATATTGGTTCGTTCTGTTACAGCAACTAAATTGAAGGTGCTTGCTTTAAATTCCCAGTGATAGAAATTTTGGTTAATTATGTGGGTCGCTATGAAACTTGGGGTTCTTGCTTTAAATGCCACTAATAAACTTGGTTTATTCTGTTGCAGCAATCAGTTGCAGCTGCTTGCTTTGAAATCCCACTAATAAAAAAATAGTTTAATTTTTTTTCCTATAAGTAAATAGTGGGGCTTGCTTTAAAATTCCAATATTAGAAATGTTGATTTATTCTGTTGCAGCAACGAAATTGGAGGTGCTTGTTTTAAAATCTCAGTAATAAAAATATTGGTTCATTCTGTGGGCTGTCACAAAATTGGGGATGTTTGATTTAAAATGCTACTAATAGCAATGCTTTTTTCTGTTCCAACGACTTAACTGGAGTTGCTTGCTTTAATATGCCACTAATAGCAATATTATTTTATTCTGTTGCAGCAACTAAATTGGAACTGCTTGCTTTCAAATTTTATTAATAAAAATGTAGTTTTATAAGTAAATGGTGGGGCTTGCTTTAAAATTCCAGTATTAGAAATGTTGGTTTATTCTGCTGCAGCAACTCAGTTGGGGCTGCTTGTTTTAAAATCACAGTAATAGAAATTTTGGTTCATTTTGTGCCATGAAATTGGGGGTGCTTGCTTTAAGATGCCACTAATAACAATGTTTTATCCTATTGCTGCAACTCAATTGGGAGTGCTTTCTTCAAAATCTCGGTAATAGAAATGTTTGTTTATTTTGTTGCAACAACTGAATTGGGGTGTGGTTGTTTAAAACTCCATTAATGGAATCATCATTTCATTCTGTTACAACAATTACATTGGGGGTACTTGCTTTAAAATCTAAGTATTAGAAATATTGATTTATTCTGTTGCAGCAACGAAATTGGAGCTGCCTGTTTTAAAATCCCAGTAACAGAAATTTTGGTTCATTCTGTGGGCTGCCATTAAATTGGGGGTGCTTGCTTTAAAATGTCATCAATAGCATTGTTGTTTTATTCTGTTGCAGCGACTAAATTGGGAGTTTTTAAAATCGCAGTATTAGAAATGTTGGTTTATTCTGTTGCAGCAATTGAATGCAGGGTGCTTATTTAAAACTCCATTAATAGACACACTGTTTTATTCTGTAACTTGGCAGAGCTAATTTAAAATCTCAGGCTGTACAACTGTGATAGGTAATATGGCGACAATCACTAGTTATAATGTGGTTTGTCTGATTTTGCAAGATCCTGATGGGGTAAGGTTCACCAAATATGTGGGACTACATAACTTTATATAGCTGATAACTTCATAACCTCACATCTCCTTGTGGAATTTTCCCTTGCCAACACATAAGTCTTAGAGTTTCTTTAAACATTCCAAACTGTTCCTATTCTTTCTCCAAATGTAGAGGCAGATGATACATGAACATTTTTGGACAAGGATCCCTAGACAGCAGCCTCAAGCAAATACTTACTAACAAAATGAAAAAAAAAATGTGTGCAGTAGTGATATGTTTAAATTTAAATTTTTATTTTAATCAGGATATCTTCATAATGTCCTTATTCTTAGATAAGTTACACCATCAACTGTCTTGTCTAGCATTTATGCCTTTTAAATTTTATATTTGCTTTCTGTTTCAAGCTTAGAAAATGAATGTTCCTCCAACCTCAGAAAGCAGGCCTTATCCTACAAACCCAAGACCTTATTTTTATACTCAGCCTGCAGCACCTCCGCCATTCCCTAATCCATGGCTCGTTGGACCTATGTACAATCCCTATGGCATGCCTGCATCCGGTAAGAGAATCTATACAGCACAATGTTCTGACGTACAATGATAAACTTGTAGGGGGGGGGGAAAGGGGTTATTCGCCAACTCTGAATAGGAAACAAAAGAAGTGAGAAATTTACTAGAAAAATCTGTCAATGTTTGTCTATTTGGTCAAACAAAGAGCTGCAGCTGAACTGCTAATTTATTAATATCTCTGTTAGAGTTTCATCTGTTGTTCTGGATCTTGGCAGTAGTGCTCTTAACTTTATAGGCTCTTTGACAAAAAATGAATGTTCTAAAAAAAAGACTAAAAAAAATGCTTAGGGAAGGGCATAGCAAGCGGCAAAGATTTAAAGGCCAATGAGGCAGAAATGATACCAGCAAATTTTACCTATAATTTGTTCATGCTTTCAGTCAGAATCTGTTAAGCATTCTTTTCAGACATTGAAATTTGCCTTAAAACTTATTTTCTGTAATACCGGTACTAGCAAAATACATTATGTGTATTGAACCAGGGTAATCTGTCTGGAATGTTACAATTACTACTCAGAATAGGATCATAGTTCTAATGTTTTGTAGTACATTTTATAGTATACTATAAAGAAGTACTCTAATCATCAATACCTTCATTATAACTCTGCTTAACAGCTTTATAATATTTTAGTTTTCGGTGGATGAAATTTTCAAGGCATATAGCAACAAATAGGAAATTCCTCACTTTCATAATTTCTGCTTGCTTGTTCCTAGGGCAAATAAATAGCTTTACTTAGCATAATTAACTTAAATACAATTTATTTCAATTGCATTTAATTAGCTTGTAAACTTTAGTTTGTTTAGCTATAAATTATTCCATTGACAACAGTGAGTTCTGTTTCCAAATAAATGTGATTAGGCTCTGCTTGTTACTGCAATTAGACATTAATATGAAAAGTGTCTCCTTCAAGTCCAACACAGCTTCTAGCAGCTTTAGTTGAGTTCTTTTGGCTCCATTTGCTTTTTAAACCTTTTTTAACCTTCCTAGTATAGCCTATAGCTCTTGTATTTCATGAATATTTCCATACAAATACTAGCCAGATCTATAGTAGCCCTGTTTTTCAAGATATCTCAAGGACAGAAAGCATAACAAATATAATTAATAGCAAAAGATATTGTCAGCCATAATCTTCTGACTTCTGCTTACTCACTTCCAAAATTATACAAAACTGTCAACCTTCTTTACCTGTAAATTATAACTTTTTTCAGTAATAGTCACTGAGCTGCACTGAAATTTTGCATGTACTACTTCATGTTTTCACTTCACGCCTTGCTGAGCTAAATATAACTGTACCTGTGACATCCTTGGTTATCTCTGAGTTTAGCTGTTTTCTTGCAGACACTTCAATACCCAACTAGGGAATATCATCGGTGCTAAAAGGGGGTGCGGTTTGCTCTTTGTTTAAATACAAGTGATTTGCGCTGTCCATGTTGGAGGGAAAGTTTTTGGTGGTTCCTTGATTAGGCTGTTTACTGTTAGCTCAAACGCTTTTAGAACTTTTAGAACAGAATATCATTGTATATCTCACAATGAAATTAAGTGCTGCCCAGTGTACACTACACACAAGTAAAAACCACAAGTAAAAACATACATTATATACAAACATCCTTCACATTCTTTTCACCACTGCGCTGCCCCTAATATTGGACTTCAATGTTGCACTGTACAGTAGTATTTAATATGGTTACAGCTCTGGGATAAAAACTATTTTTCAGCCTATTTCTTTATTTTTATTATCCTGCACCATCTGCCAGATGATAATAGTTCAAAAAAAAAAAGAATGTCCTGGATGAGATGAGTCTTTAAGAATATTTTGAGCTTTCCTAAGACAGTGGGGACTGTACAGTTCGTCGGGCGGGGGGGGGGGAGAGGGCAGTCAATAATCCTCTGGGTGATGGTAATGACTCTCTGGAGCACTTTCCTATCTGCTACTGTGCAGTTGGTAAATTCCACATATGCAGTAAATTAGAATGCTCTCTATGGAGAAACAGTAGAAGGTCACCAGCAGTTTTACAGTAGCACTGATGATGTTTGCTAGTTGAGTAATGAAATGTCTGGAAGAAAATAACAAAGTTTGGAGAGCAACAAGAGCATTGCAGTTCAAGCCTGAGCAACAAATATTCATTTCTATTGGCATAACTATAATCTTGGACCCAAAAAAGTGTAAAATGAGGCATTTCCAAAGGCATAGAGCTATTAATTTGTTAGATATCAAAAAACAATGAGCTTAGAAATATTGGTTTATTTTGTTGCAGCAAATAAATTGGGGGTACAATTAAAACTCCACTAATAGAATTATTGTTTTATTCTGTTGCAGTAAGTTTATAGGATACCTAGGAAGCCTATTGATGCTGCTAAATCACCATAGATACATATATTTTATATTTTGAGCGGCTTTGCTGAATTTTTTGGATTAGTCTGCTGAAATTTTTGGATTAGTCTGATTGCATGTTTAGCCTTGCGGAAGATCTAAAATTAGAAGCCAATGATATAACTGTATTTTGGTTTTGTTCTCAGGTTTAAGAAGTAGCAATCCATATTTCCAATGTTACTCAGTTCCTGCCCATGAATATCCTGGATATTTAGTTCCACAGCCTCCTATGCATATGAGAATTAGAAGACCTTATTTCAGTGGTCCTCCACCATCACCCATGGTGTATCAAGCCCCACGGTTCAGGCATGGTTATCCCATGACGTATCAACCACAAAACCCAGTGAAAAGAACAGAGGACAAAGAAACTCAAACTGATTTTGGACAATCTGAAAGTGGAGCAAAAACATCTGTGGAACAAGATACAGGAACAAAAGGCTGTGATGCTAGAAATACTGCTTATATCGCATCTGATATGCCTAAAGAAACTGAAAGTTTGTTAGAAAAAACAGATAAAACATCTTCTGTGTCAGACAAGGAACTTGCCAAGAACTCTTCAGGTCTTGTACCATTTCGAAGTCTTCCCCCAACAGGCTATGCCATTGAGAAAGAGGAAGTTAGAATACAATATGCAAATGATGGCGCTCCTGCCATCCAGCTATGGAAGTCTTTCAAAGAAACAATCCCTCTCTATGAGATGGCACAGAAAAATGTCCCAAAGAATATCATGCAAAGAGATATGCTTGCTCGTAGCTCCTGTGAAGGAGGTGCATATGGGCCTCGCGAACAAGGAGAATTGCTTCCATATATTCCATTTTCAGAGGAGCAGAAGGTTCCTGAGGACATGCAGAAGAAACAGCCTCTATGTAAAGACAATCAAGATTCAGAAAAACAAGGAGTTATAAACTACAGAGCAAAGGGTCCAATGGATGAAGCTGGAACAGTGCAACTGGCTGAACCAACTGGGCCTGACTACTCAGGGATAAGGCAGGATGTACTGATGGCCAAAATACCTCCTGGTTTTAAAAAATCAGGTGGTTTAAAAGCTCCACAAGAAGTTTCAAATCTTATTCGACAACGGAAATTATATCCCTCTGGCATGGAGATGACAAATGATGCATATTTGCCTCAGAAGTTGAGTGAATGTAATGATGTAAGCAATAAAAACTGGAGTGCTTCAGAAAAAATCCAATGGTGTGATGACTCTGAAAAATATCTTCCTTCTGAGAGCTGGTTGGCTTGTGTGGATAACTTGGATCCAAACTATAACTATGAAAAATATCTTTTCCGAAGAAAGCGTCCAAATGTGCTTAGTATTACCTCTGATGATATGTCTTCTATTGAAGAAGGCTCATCAACTGAGAATTCTTCATTGTCTGCCATAGTCCCAGACTATTTGCTTCCAAAGACTCATATACCTTTATATGGCTTGGGAATAGATAATATAAGAAGTGGAGGCACCCTCAATGAAGATGAGGAAATGATGGGGTTTGAACAGGTCACTAGTGAGCAAAATCAAAATCTGAAGAGTGATTCAAGAGTCAAGATTAAAGAGAATCCTAGCCAAATCAAAAAGGTGAGCGTTCTTCCAAGATGTTCCAGTGACAAGCGTCTCTATTGTCTCCAAAAAATAACAAATTCATCTCCATCAGATGCTGATGAATCTGAAGAATATTGGGTGATGGAACCAGAGGAATATGAAGAAGAAGAAACTGATGAGGAATATTTTGTTGAAGAAGAAATGCCATATGAAATCCTGAATTCAGACAAAATTAGATTGGGCCAACAGACTTCCCAGCAAGCATTTTGGAGAATCCCTAAAAATGCAGCACCACCACATGTAATTAACTGGCCTGTGCAAGAAAAAATGTCTGGGTTGCCTACTAAACGGCAGAAGGAGCAAGATGAAGATCTCTGTGATGATTATAACATCTGCTTGGTGAGACCTACAGCCCAACAGCTAGAATTACTTGAACACAGAAAAAATCTACAGAAATGTTCAGGTAAATAGAAAACTGAAACAGATGTCAATCTATTTTTTTTTTTTTAAAAAAACTTCATTTTCTAATTTATAAGTCTTTATAAGTCAAGCAGAGGAGAGGAAGATAGATTATTTTTGGGGATTTGCAGCCTTTTTTTGGAAATAAGCTGTATATCAAGAATTTTGTACACAGCTACTTGAATGCCTATCTCTCTGAAATGCTGCAGTTTATGTATTTCAAATTCTTTTTTCTCATATGCACCTTTTACTCTGACATTCTTGTACACAGTTAACAAACTTTTTTTAATGATAGAATATTGAGTGACTACAGTCTAGATGTTCCTTGATGAAGAGTTGAAAGTAGCATAGTCCATATTAATATCCAGGCTGATCTATGTGTACACATATGTACACCTGAATATATTCATAGTCTGCAGTTAAATCAATGGACATATTGGAATTCTATTAGGATTGTTCAGCCATTTTGCTTTACCAATTACTAACCAGATATGTAGCAAAGAAGTGAACTTCTGCTTTATATGTGTTGATCAGGATGGTTACAAGACGAAAATAGAAGGACTGGACCTGATGAATACTGGATGAAAAGTGGTGCTAGACCCAGATCTGCTAGCCTAAAACCTGGTGATCTCTCACCTACTGCTACAAAAGAGAAAGGTATGGACTATTGTTTAAAATAAAAATGTACTGCATTCATCTATTTATTAACATGACTTCAACTAATTTTCTTTAACTCAGTGGCAATTGAGTCCACATTTTAAAGCAAAGTGGCAATTTGTGCAAGCAAAAAAAAGGCAAGTTCATTTGAATGCTGAGGCATTATACATGAAGCAATTTCAATGCTGCTCAGATCAAACATGAATTTTGGATATCATGTCAAACTTAATTGGGAACCTCAGCCAGTCACAATTCTCTAGCTGCTCGTACATATTCTGAGAAAATATCTGTTATCTTGTATAGTGAATTTGAAAAGCCATTCTTAAAGAATGAGGTGTGGTACAAATGTCTTTGCAAGCAAAGTAACTTAAAAATGGGAAATGATAGAAGGGATTAAGTTTTAAGCGCAGAGTAAATAAAATGAATGAATAAAATTATTTCATTTATAACAGATATCCTGGAAGTATTCCCTTTTGCTTCTGCTGATATGTATATGGACTGTCCAAAGAAGAAAGGAGGGCATAAGCCTCCTCATAAACGCAGAGACACAAGGTGTGAAACCACTGAAGAACGGGAGAAACCTAAAACTATGTATCACAAGGGTAAGTGCATTATGTCACCAAGTTATCTAGTAATAAAGAGATAAACTTTTAAATTCACTTTTCAAATCATTTCTATTTGAATGCTCTAAGCAGTATATGGAAGTCCAATAATATTCAGCACATAGGAATTTTAGAACTAGTGCTACAAATGAAAATTGTGGGTTCACAGAACTGGAAAACCATAGTGGAATATTTTTTTGCATAGGATGTTTCTGCTCCTCTTTGAAAGATGTGTATAATAAAAACATAGATCATAATTAGTAAAATATCAATTGTATTGACTATATAGTCAGTGAAATACATCTGTATGCAATACATACTCAGCCTTGCCAAGGAAAGATAAGTTGTATAAAGGATGCAAACAACCTGTTAAGTCTAGCTGAAGTGCCAAGGGAAATTCCTGTTTGATCTAAACTGTTTATCATTAGAAAAATCTGACACTCTCATATATTACTGAGCATCATGCCTGCTTATGTCCACTACCATGGACTGCTACACTACAACAAGTATTAACAGCATTTGAGACTGAATACCCAAGTGGGCTTTTCCTAAGATACAGTCAGGATGTTTGTATCTTTGGCACACATTTTACTAGGTAGTTACACTGATTGCTTTGTGTTGCTGTGCACTGCTCCAGTATCTATAGTTAGTACCTGTTCAGCTGTCATACAGAAAGATGTGTAAACAGACCTCTCAGACAAATCACACTGAAGGTTATAGGTCTGAATTCCCCACACTTAAAGAAAAATCTTAAAAGAATCTTAGGCTAGATCCCAATCTTTTCACTTCATGCCTCTTAACTTATTTAAGTTCCATTATGTCCTAATTTTTAGCAGCTGGGCAGTATTTGAATGCTGCTCATATATGGCTTTTTCTTATATAGATTTGTTCATAAGTAATATAAACTTATTATGCTAGGTGTATGCCATGTAGATATTTTAAGTATTTGAAATGCTTTATCATCCTGCCTAGTTAAGATGTTCCTTCATAATGGTTATACTGTAGTGGTTTGTAGAAGCTTTAAAACTTGGCAGACAAATTTGCATATGGTTATTCTCAACAGCCCTGAATATTATCCATTTGCAAACTATTTCTTATTAAAAAGAGCTGTGTTGTCTAATATTATGTTTTCCTTTTGTGCAGGGTATGAAGCAAAGAAACCACCTTATAAAAGATAAAAGAAGACAATGAAAATCAGCATTATATGAAGTGCAAATATTTGCTTGTATTGTTTAAAGGAATCGTATTTTTTTTTAAGCAAATCAATTTAAAGATTCCTGAGTTCACACTGTAAAATGTCCAAAAAAATGAATTTGGACACACACATTTCACACAATGTTAAGTAACACAGAGTTTAAATAAAATTGAAGTTGAACTAATAGGATGTGTGAATAATTTCTAATGTAAAACTTATTCTCAAAGAATGGATAAAGCATCATCTGAGAAATATGAAATGAAGGTCAGTAGGAATCACAATTTAGTTTAAAAAGCATTAACTTTAAATAGTATCAAGTTTTGAGAAACAATGCCCCCTACTTTCTTCTGCAGTGATACCTGAAGGGACACCAAGATAATTTCTTGTAAATTAGATAAACTATAGACTCTATCTAAATAAAGCTCACATCATGGTTGCATAAACCAAGGCTTTAAAGAAATATGCAGACCCTGTAGGTTTTGAATGTAGTCTCAGAATTTAAGTTGCCTTTAAATCGTAATTTTTAACATGGCAGCATGGAAAATTTCATAGGAGGAAATTTCATAAAATATATTTAACTTTAATTGGATGCAGTTTAGCATTTGGTCAGAGTACATTTTAGTAGAATTCTAGTTCCCACACTAAAAGAAGTTATGCTATAGTGTCGTCTTAGCATAACTAAGGCTATATGAACATATCAATGTATTTTCTTAAATGGAACTGAACATTTTTCATGCTTAAAAGGGCACAGAGTCTTCATTATTCTGGTTCAGCAATAGACAATAGAATAGGAAGCCTTGAATCAGATTCATTCTTTTTCTACATCTCCATTCTAAGGATGATTCTAGCTAGCTCTGTTTGTGGAACATGCTGCAGAATAAACAGATTAAAATGGAGGTGTTGGGTTGAGTTTATGTGCTTGATAATGACTCCAGTTATCCAGCTAATCCTTAGTATTACAAACTTTTATTGAAAATAATGGCTCAAATTGCTTTATACTCCCTAGCAATCCTTTGCTTTCAAAGATAATTAAGCTTTCAGTCCTTGATATATGGGAAGAGATGAAGGCATGAACAGACGTAGATGAAGCCAGATATTTTGCATCCAGCCATCTAAAGCAGGGGTGTCAAACTGGCAATGTCACGTGACGTGTCGCGATATATCGTGACTTTTTTTTTGACATAGCCAGCAATGGAGTGAGCGAGGTTTCGCTTTGATGCATCTGGCCCGCGGGCCGACAGTTTGACACCCCTGATCTAAAGGAACCAGCATGCTACAGTTTTGATGACAAAGTGCCGATGCAACAAAAATGTTTTTCTTTGCTCTACATCACAGCTATCTAGGATTTTGATCCAAAACTTTAGTTCTTTTATTGCTTTTCAATTAAATAAAAAGTAATACAGATGAATAAACAGTTATTTTATTGGGCAGAACAAATATGCCACAATTAATACGCCTATCCTTCCAATATTGTTTTTCTGTCTAAAAAAAATCAAACTTCGAGTGCCATAATATAATGTAATCAATTTTTAACCATTTCCTGAATGTTCTCCACTATCAAAAAGCAACACAACATGCATGGTTACTTGACAAAAACATTTTTAATTTTTCAAGCACTTTTCTAGGAATTGGTAAGGAAATGGACATTTAAAAATAAGTTGTATTTATGTGTGCTTTATTATCAGTAAAACTGGATCTTCAAAATGTGCGATCTAAAGATTGTTTTACAATTCCTCAATACTCTGTTTCTAATCTTATAGAATTCTGTGGAGCCATTCCTATTATGTCAGATGCAGCTGGAGAATGGGTGATAAATTATGCAGCTTTACAATAAAGTACATCTGAAAATAAGTTATAAAATATATTCTTGTATTGTGGTAGATAATGATAGTTGTATTGTGCTTCATCCCTTTATAGAAAGCCACTTTTTAGAGCAAAGTTTAGATGGAGGCAGTTAAGGTTGAAGCCCATACCAAAGCCCCTTTGCAATTCATTTGCCTCTGCATATTGTCCATTAGGCTTCTTCCTTCAGCAAAGGCTGGGACTTCTGCCATACTGCAAACACTTTGGTGATATGCTACTAAAGGAATCCTTTTGGCTAACTGTTACCAAGCTTTGATGAAAAGATATTTGTGTAATCTTGGGAGTTATTTTTGGAACTTTCCTATTGGTAGTTTCCCCTTTCCTATACTGATTGTTAAAGTCTTAGTAGGCTAAAAAAAGGGCGGAGGGACCTTTTACAAAAATAGTTAAAAAGAATCTGTGCATGCATTCATGTAGGTGTGTACATAGAAGCACGGTTTTTTAGCAGCATCTCACACAGATACAAAATAACCTTTCTTGGGGTTTTTTGTTGTTGTTATTTTCCAACACAAGAAAGGTAGAGCATGCAGATAAAACAGAAATAAAGGAATGTTCTTTGGATCTTTTACATCTTATTGACACAAAGGCAACCATCTCAATCTGATTCAGACTTCTTGCTTGATTTAGAAGACCGGTGTTTTCTCTTTTTCTTTTTTTTCTTCTTTTCTTTTTTCTTTTTTTTCTTCTTGTGCTTC